GTGTCAAACAGGATTCAATTAATAGGTTTCGAAGTTCCGTCGATGGTTGGAGCTATACTTCACCTGTTTTAATACAATGACGTCTATCCGTGATAAAGTCAGCTTTTATTTAATACTAAAAGAGTAGAATGCAAGTAACAATATTGTATTTTTTAAATCAGTACTTCCATTTTAAATTATTTTTTGAATAGAGTAGTTTTAACAGTGTTATATAAACACGTCAAGTCTATTTGAAACATTATCATTTAAATATATCTCATTAGTATGTAATGATTTTGAATTTATTGATTTTAAAAACGAACGCTGTCTTATTTACAGTGTCATAATAAAAAATAGCTGAAATTATACTCGTTCCTTTCCTTAAAATAGTAAAGTATTATATGGAATTAATGATATTTTAAAGTAGAATCGAATATGGTATAGGAAAAAGCAAATCATATCAGCATTGGCTTTAGACGGTGAATATAAGGTCGTGCTCAATGGTCGCTACTGTGACGCAACGCAACCCTGACACCTGTGATCAATTACTTCGCATTGCTTCTCACTTGCTTTGGTCATTCGTTCGAATAGCCGTTTTACATCTATCTTTAACCCAAAACTGGTATGTTTTTTCCTTTTTACATGACATAGATAACCTCATTACTTATTTAGGTGTACGAACCCTTTACAGTTTTGTAGGTTGAAGATATCCTAAATAAATATTAGTGGAGCTACAAATTTGGTATGTAAATAAGATATACTATAATGATTTATTACACACAGTGAAATACTATCTTGCTACCAGAGTAATAATAATCTTAATGAAAAGAAAACGCTCACCGATCAATGAGCCACAAATTCTATATCCTTTCGAGTGACACTGATTTGTATGTTTGAAGCAGGAAGTGCGCCGTGATTGAGCACAAGCTGAGTATAGTCAAGGTATATTACACCGACTCCGATTATTATAACTTGTTAGTTGTAATAATATGAGGTGTTCCTTACGATCCAATAACTCGTTAAAATTATCGTTTGAATATACATAGTTATAGTTTTTAGGATGTATCGATTACCCTTGTGCGTGGTTTAAATGTAATGTGAGTCTACAAGCATGTGGGTGTGTGCCCAATATTTTTTCTAAAACGTTCTGTTGGTTGAAACTATTTACTGTTTGGCGACAGTAGCAAGTAATATCAACAGCGTTATCAATATGTTATATAAACAAGCTTTCGACCGCAATATCGGGTTAGGTCAAATACTATGCCATATCTTTGATGTTGATAATTATTATTATTTAATAATAGCCGAAATATGTTATCAGTCATCATAAAATAATATTATGCTTTTGGTGTGACCAATCTATTTATAATACGGTCTATGTGAATAATCAATGTCTATCTAATTTTAATAAATGCATACAGTATTCCTGATATCAGAGTATTGAAACAAAATAAACGCAGTAATTTTTCAGTGTTTTATTATGTGAGTAGAGAAAATGGTTCAGATATTAAATGAAAAATATTTTGGATTCATAGAATATTTAATATAGGTATTGCGTATTATTCTCATTTATAATCTACCTCTATAAAAAGTTTCTTATAAACAATAACACTGACTCAGTGACACTGTATAATAGTACTTATATCTGTACATCAATGCTAAAATATTATGATGGGAATAGATTAAATGACTAAATATTAAAAGTAATTGAATAAAAACTGTAAATGAGAGAGATGTTTTCTTTACTGCATGTGACGGAAGCCAGTTGATACATTTATCGGCGTTGGATGCTATATCACAGGAAATAGTGGTCAAGCGACTGCCCCACAGTCATAACACATATTTTCAAGATGCATACAAACGCGATAACTTTGTTATTGTTCGCTAAAAGAGATAAATCATTGTTCTCTCCTGGAAATCTTGATTTTAAGAGTAGTATAATAAATGTATTATTTTATATTAATGTTTTATACAAAGGTGTTTATGTATATGACGTCGGTTTAAATGTGCTAGAGGTCAAGCGCTAAATGTGACGCGTAACATGTTGCCGGTCCACTGACCTCCTTACAGAATTGAATTGTGTAACTGTAGTGTCGGATTCTCAGCCTAAATCTGCTTCAGTTGTGTATAATTCTCAATATTAAATTATATTCTAAAAGCATGTTAAGATTCAGGACTATTTTCTTCTATCACGGGTCAAAGGCTTCAGTATTTACGTCTATGATTTATAATGATCGTCGAGTAAACACGGCGTTGGCTTATCGGCCGACCTGAAGGTTCTTCACCTCAGCGGACACGGACATGTGTCCCAATAAAAGCTAAACAGAATACCCAAAAGTGTCATACAATTCCAATAATATTAGTCACCGTTTCTATACATTTTTTATATTATTTATGCATCGCTAAAATAACCATCGACGTATTTTACTCGACGCAATCCAATTTATTACTTTGCTGAACATCGAAGCAGCTCGGTAAATGTTGTCAATATAGAAAAAGACGTCTAGAAAATATCGCTTCATCTGTTATGAGATTTTATTAAAAAGTGTACCAACATTTTATTATTACTGTTTTGCTTTGAAATGTCCTTTTAAGGTCCGGTCAATACGATACGCACGACATAAAAATACAGACAATACGAGTTATTCATTAATTATAATAATAATGAGCTGTTTATCATTGAGATATAAAATCAAGTTTTGATTGATATACAACTCACAAGCGTAGTGCCAACAAAAGAGTGATTTACGTAAGTAACATTTGCACCATTGAAGCGCTTATCAATTTTGATTAATGTTTCCTCGACATTTAAGTTGCATTTAATTATAAATGTATTGATGATATGCAACAGTTCATATAAAAAGTTATTTAACAAAACTAATACTTGTTTAATATTATATCTCTCTGAAAATCTATTCGCAATACATTTGCTATTTAGTTTTTGTTATTCTTTTTGTCTCGTATTTTCCAACTATGATTATTTTGATTAAAAAACTTATTAGTTGGTTGTGTTGTTAAGTACCTTTATAATAACGACAAGTCATTAATGGAAGGAATGCTTAAAGGATAACTTATATTCAGCTTGAGGTATTAAAGCTCGGGTTATCATGGTCCAGGTTTGGTTGTTATTTACCTTTAATGATTGATGATGATGAGTGTTATAAAATTATGGTCGTCAATATTAAATTTATTAACATCTAACAATATAAGCTTCCACTCTACGTGTTCTTCATGTTTTTAACTAACATGAATTCCTCCAAGCGTTCGCGTCGTTTTAATTGGATAACGAGCGTTTCTGAGTAATCACAAATGAAATGACATATAATTTCATTAAATTCCAGGCATATTGTACATTATGGTTAGACACAGCTACAGTGTAAGTAGTCAGGCTTATAACAACGGATCGTGAAATATGCAAGCCGGATAGTCGGTCCGCCACCGCACCGCGCGCCTTCACAAACGTGCATAGCCTCGATAATTTGATCATATTATTGTTCGTAATACCGACTGAGTCTTCGCAACTCAAATATTATTGCTTATGAAGGCCGTTCGGACGCTAAGTAACGTTAAAATTTTATTATTAAAGGCGTATCAGGAATGAGGATATAGAGGCTACGTTTTTGGCATATCAAAGAAGTTAGTTCGTTTGAATTTCAAATAATTTTATGTTCTAGACAATGTATGAATGTAACATTTGCTTCTTCATCCATGCTCCAAGCGCGGACGGTGGTGATTCAGCAGACTGTGACGTCATACAGAAGGCGCGTCCGTCTCTCCTTACACAGCACATATAATGGGATACTAATGTGTTGTGCTGTCTTCGTTATGCCTCGCTAATATATTGAATAAACATTAAATACATGAAAAGAATCATTGAACAATTTCTAATGATATAGCATAGCTTCCTAACAATTAAAATTCTTTGACAATATTCCGTCTTTTAATAATATGATACAAACATTTTAAATAGTTTATGACGCTGATATTAAACAATCTAATCACAAAAATAAATATCTCTCTTTATCTCTCAAAACCAAATTGCGATTACCATAAAATTATCTACAATTTTATTTAATTATTTATTTGGAACACAAACAATATCGTGGGTGCTATTTTATTAATCATGGTATTTGCTATAAATAGCTGAAATAATAGTTTCTTCTTCATCCCTGAAGCGAAATTCTGTAAATAGAATTCAATATTAATAATTTTGAAACCGCCAGCCACAATTAGTAAGACGTAAATTAGCAATCAGTTTAATAAATGGTCCCAGCACATGCTACTACATTTTCTTAAAGACCTTGCTTTAAATCATAGGAATAATTACAACATTAATGAGTACTGACCTTTGTACATCCGACCCAGATTTTAATACGTGCATGGTTTTCCTTAATTTTATTTTAAAATTACTGTACAGACTACAGATAAGAAATCGAAACATTGAACATAAATGCCTTTCAAATAGTTCATATATTTGGTATCTACATTACCATTTAATATTTTAAATTGCTGTATTTATTTTAATAATGCAATTTTTAAAAAGTTCAAACTCATCAAATAAACGAGTTCTTTTCTTGGAGTCAAGAAAGCACTACTATTATCATTCTAGGTATAATTCTCGTTCGTTCTTTGCAATTCCGTTAAGACAGGATCTACAGGTTAGTTGCAACCTGTCCACTGTTTCTGTTAAGAAAGTTGAAACTAATGCGTAGGTTTGTTCCAATAAAACCAACATGTAAAATCGAGCTAATAGTATTCAATAAGAATGAAATATCCTTATTTTGTGGAAATAAGTCACTGTGTTTTGAGTCATGACGTACTGATTGAATCATAAAGTGTTGGAAATAATTTAAATTTACAATGAATATATATTTTGAAAGCACGTGGCTATCACTGGCACGCGTCATTAGGCGAGATGCCAAGTCAACGGGAGACGACTTCAAGCCACTGACGAGACCGTCACTACATCCTCAAACGGCGGCTTTGTTTTCGTTCAATGTCGACATCTTTGTCCCTTTCGTTTACATGTAATATGAATGGGATGGAGTGTGTTTATGTTCCTGTGGTTGAGTGGCGACGATGCGACTGATCGGGAAAGTAACGTTCGCGTCCCCCGCATAGATACAACCCTCGCACTCCAACGATGTTGTCCCTGTTATTATTCGTTTATAAATAAGAAATTGGATGTTCTATTTATGAACACTTTCACACAGTATAATAAAGTTATATGATGATGAATAGTTTAAATTAATTTGTTTCTTAATTCTGATGTTAATTGGTAATTTCTTTCTTGGTTGTTAATAATGATATTAAAATTTGTTACAACTGAACAGTTGATTAAACAAGCTCAGACCCGTTGCTAATACTTTTGAAGGTCCTTGAATCGTCTCTAAGTTGTTAAATACATAAAAAAGTGCGAGTTTCAGTAGTAGCCATGCGTGTACATTATTGTGAAGTCAAATGTATCAAAGAGTTAAATATACTGGGCGGTAGTAAAAGCATTTCTGGGTATATAGTTAATCCTTCATTACCGCTGATAAAATATGTACAATTTTCTATTCATTTCTCGGCCTGATAAGGACTTATAAAACAAAAATATTATCAGTGGATATTCTAGAAATAATATACAGATAAAATATATGATTCTTGGATTTGGATGTTTTTTTTGTAGTAAACAAGAGCTGGAATTATTTAGAATATTTATAATTTGCTCAATAAATCTTAAACGTGGACAACAGTTGTAAACTTCAAGTAACAGTTACAGCAATAAACTTCAAAAACGCAATCGATTTCACCAATAAAATCTATTACTACACTTAAAGTCTAGTAAGACGTACCTACTGATATCTATTTTACATTACTATAGCGGTCTAACAATCTTGCTGTGATATTTCAGTATAGGACATAACAATTTTAAATGGTATCATGACGAAAGCATTCCTGAAGTTATGTTGTAAGATCGTAAAAGTCATACGTTACTTAATATGTAACACCTACATCTATTTTGTATTAATGGAGTCACTAGTTCTATTTACTATTTTATATTTAGTATAAAACGTAAAATGAAGGTTTTATAATGAAAAATGAAAAATGTTAAGCATGAATTTCAATATATTTTATACTTACACGTAAGTTTCTTTAATACTTACAACTATTGTAAACTGGAATTATGACTCAGATTTCATGTAAAATACGCAATAAATTAAGAGGCGGTACATAGAAGTATGAATGGTTTTTGGAATCAATATCCCTTTTTACCTAACGACACCATCTGTCCTTTCTGAACGTGACTCTCCCTATATTTACTCAATTCTTTTGTACAGTTTTAGTGACGCGTCTAGTTACAGATATAAAACTTTTAATCATATATATGACTCAGCTCTTTTCAAACGATTATTGTTTCGTAATATAAAACAATTTTCTGTTGACTGAATGATGCGATTGCTTTTGTTTATACTGAGATAATATTATATAAATTGTGTATCATATTACAGTAAAGATTCGTGTGTAGTTAGTGACACATCAGAAATCAGTACTAACTAGACTCTAATATAAGCAATATCATGTTAAAATACTTATAAATTTCCTAATCATGACTTCATAGATACGTATAAGTATAGTAAACAAAAAAGCACGATAATAATATACATTAATTAAGTACTTCCATGTCTAAGTAATATTTTTTCTTATCTTATTCCAACAAACCCTCGCATAGAAGATTGATGAATGTCGGAGTTGGGACCGAAATGTTTACTTAGTATATATAATTTTAAGCCGGTAAATAAGAATTTAATATGAAAATTATAACATCGTTCAAATTTCTCTGAAAAAAATCAGAAACAGATTCATAATGAAATCACAAAAAGTATAAAAAAAATTTAAAAGTAAATATTAGTGGATTAGATTTTTTCGTGACGCATTATAATGCCTTAATCGACCTGATTTCAATCATTATTTATTGTTAGAAGCCAACATTGTGACCTCGAGCTGGCGTCGCATTAGCGTGTAATTAGCGCTGACCGTGCTGGTCGCTTCGTATTTACATAATAGTGCGGTCCTTGGCCTTGTATAGAAAACACTTGTACTGTTTTAATTATCTCTGTAGTTTTTTTACATTGTAGTCGCTAAGCAGTTTTAAGGCTGTACACCAAGGTTCAACGATTTATTATTTTGTATTTAGGAAATAAAAATATTCTACCGAGAATCTGATATATATTTTTTATTTAAAACTTGAAAGTGCCTTTTGCTTTTAAATATTTTAATGTCGTTTAAAAACTCGGCAAAAAATGTCAAAGCTTAAGCAAAGTTTAATATGCACATTGCACAGGCATAAGTTAACATCAGAAGAACATGCAAATGGTAAAGTAGGCTTGTTTCAAACAAAGCAGATATTTTGTAAATAAAAAAAGGTTTTATATAATATTTACACATTAACGTTAAAAACAAATTTTCTCATATATTTCTGAAGTAAATTGAACAGGAGTTTTTTTTTTATAAATAAGCGAATAAATTACAAGAATACCATTAAAGTTTCTAACGGAGATTACAATAAAATTCAACAAGCTTATTAGCAACGTTCTAAAGGAATTTATTACTAAATTTTACAATACATTCTTTGTCTGTCTGGTTTAACTGAAATAATTGGACCTCGGGGTGTTAGCGACATCGGACAAGGATATTTATAACTATTATCGTAAAATTTTTACTAGTTGTTTTAATATATATTATTATTATTAAGGTACGTTGTTTTATTTACTCGAGCCTCCTCTGCCAGAATGAAATTTTTTATTTTGAAATATACCTACTTTTATATTTTTAGAAGATTTTTACAGTTTTCGCATACTTTGCACTTCGCTGTAACGACTCATAATATTAAAGGCATGTGTTATTTAAGCAAAAGCTATAAATTTCTCATTAACTTTTCTTCTCGAAGGATTTTTTATACATAAATTGCATATATATACATATATTTAAGTTTTTTCATACATAGGATGATATTATTTATGAATGTAAGATGTTCAATGCATTTATATTACCTTATTTTACAATCGCCAACCAACTCATTACAATGGTCACTTACTCATAAGGAACGAATATTTTAAATAGTTTGTTTGTGATTCATCAGGGCAACACAGCTGCCTTGTTGGACCTTTTCAAATCGATTCAAACAATGCAGATCACAATTTTATAATACAATATTCTATTTGTAGTTTGATTGATCACAACGTATGAACAAAATGTATTTTTTTATTACTATTATTATATTACTGTATATAAACAATTACTTTTGCTTAAGCGACAAAAATATTATTGTTTCTTAATTCCCTTTTGATGCCATTTAAAATTTATATAAATTACGGTTTAGGGTGAAGCTTTTATTGCCTCAATTTTTTCCACACATCGATCATATGTCGAATTACAACCAGCTGTAGAGTGGGGATAACATGTAATGCATTTGAGAGAATGGACATAGCCAATATAGTATAGCCAATGTTTGCACAAACTTTATGTTCTCATCAATTAATTTGTAATTTTGAAAAGTGATTTAAATAATTATTGTTCTCAGTTTTAACGTAACCATCTCTATGAAATAAATTTAATTATTTTTTTTTCTTTCACACAGTTTGGAATTAAAATTAATAGTTAAATAAATTTTTTATGGTTTATTTTTAAAATGGTTTATGTTTCTTATTTTCTAAATAGAGGTGTGTTATAAGTTTGATGCCAATGAGTTCATGTGTTTGTTCTGTCTTTTGTTTTGTAGCTCTCAAATAAGTCATTGGATTCCGAGGTACTGTTTTCATTTTCCAGTCAGTTTCCTTGCAGTGGTTACTACCTAGTTTTGGTTAATATCCAACTAGTAGTTGCGAGGCATTTTTGATCATTTATGTATTATGAATATAGACGTTGAAGTCTGAACTGTAAATTTAGTACTTAACATTTCATTAAATAAGTCTGAATTCGGAAAACTCAGGTTTATCTTAAAAGATAACCCATAAAGCATTTGGATATCCATGAAAAATTTTATAACTACAAAGCAATTCTAACGTTACCTTTTTCCTCCCCTTACAATAGCGCCTGCTTTGAAGAATGATGCAATTAATTTTTAAAGTGATTTTGATTTTAAAAACTATGACAAACTGATTTTCCAAAAAATCAACTAATGTTTAAAACAATATTCAAAAATAAAGAACACTTAGCGATATTCCTGTAAATAAAATGGCTATTGATCTTTTTTTTTTTTGGTAACATTTATTTATTAAGTTAAAACAAAAGTCACCCATTACACCATTGTACATTTATTAAAAATCTTATCATTTTTTATGTACTATTAAAAAGTGCTCTGTTTGAAGAATTTTTTTAAAATAACAAAACCGTAAAGTCACTTACGATGTATTAGATACAAGAGTTGGGCTCAAAATATCTTACGCAATTTGTCTGATTTCCCTAAGGTTGCTATTTTTCTGCGTCTTTTTTTACTCTATATTATAGAAAAAATCCACATGTAAAATCCCTAAGGAGAAAATGTTTTCTTAGAAGCTACAGTTCTGTGAGTTAAAACGTCAAAAAAGATCAATACCTACAATTTAGGGTGAAGTATGGTCTAATTAAAATAATTATTGTGGACAGCCCCTATCGATTTTACTATATGGTACTGAAATATAGGAAATAATACTGAAATTGAAATTATAATTTTCATAAACACTATTATTTACCTGATAATTATAAATATTGTTAGATTCCAATTTCTACAATCATGAGAAGTTAGCAAGTGTTAGAGGGCGTTTACAGTTGAGGGGTTTACTCCACGACGTTAAATATTTAGTTCAAACTGGCTCCAAAGTGTATTTACTAAACATTGATTCAGAGGACTAAAAAAAAACTTTCATTTGTTTTTTAGCTTAATACAGGGGATAAAATAAGCAATATCTGCTCTGATAAACAAGAAATATATAATTAATTAACATGTCTCTAATTTATATCCGTGAATTAAAAAAAACTTGTGAATACATACTCTTGTGTCACTTTTTTAATATAATCACGTTGGCATATAAACAATATTTGAATAATGTAGAAAACTTGTTTCAAATGTCATTAAAATACCAAAACAATATTTTGGTTGTAAATGATCTCAAAAAATTGATTTTAAAATTGATTAAAAAAAATTAAAGAGAGGAATAAATTTTGCATATTTTAATTCCACCTCCCGTAACTGTGAAATAATATTTAAAAAATATCTTGAGGGACGAAAATGCACCCACCCTGAAATTCAATATTAATAAGTCAGTCCGTATTCAGATTTCTAAATAATGGTATTGATTTAAGATTTAAATATGAAAATCAAGGACAGTAGATATCTACCCAATAGGTTAATTAGTAATTATTAAACAATATAAGATTATTAAAATTTTATCACTATTTTTGTAATAATGAAATTCCCAAGTATGTATTTTTTTGTTGATAGCTTTTTGAATGTCGTGTTTGATATATACTTATAGCCTTTAACCTTCCTTGATATGGACTATCCAACTCCAATAATTTATTTTTGAAATCAGACCAGTAGTTTTTGAGAAATAGAAAAACTCTTTTAAAGATTTAATTGTACCTAACATTTCCTAATATAACTATTGCACCTCGGGGTATCAAACTCCAGCAATATTCCAAATCAGTTGAGCTGTGTAAAATCACGTAGGACACGTACTTCAGGCTCAAAGTAGTCTCCGCCCCAAATTTCCAGAACACATTATACCCGGAGATTCGGGTTTGTATAGATTTGCTCTGCCATATGATATAACTTTTTAGAAAATCTATTACAAGTGCAAACCATTAAAAAAATAATAATGGACTCAATAAGTTTCAAGTATAATAGTCTTAGCGACATGCTTACAAAGTTATATCAAATATTTTGAATAGTACACGAGTGGAACAGATCCTCATAACAGCCTTTCTACTGATTATCTTCACGGCCATTATTTTATTATTGAAAATTGTTTTTATAAATTCCTACTGAAAAGAGTTACTTGAAATTCAGTGACATCAAATCCGGATTACACAATTTTTTTACTTTAATAATTTATAATAAATACTATATAAATTTCTGGAAAGTCTCGTAGTTGTTATACAGAAAAACATTATTAAAGAAAGTCCAACAGGATCTATTTCAGTACAAAAATATAAGTAAGTAATAAATAAATCAGTAAGTCGCTATTTCACTAAAATCGTATGCTATATGAAAATTTGTCCCGAGAGTAAATAATGAGCTTGCGGTGTACTCAACAAGAATAGTTTGCGTTACCTATCGTTGCGAATCTAACTTTCATTTATAATCCTCTTATGTAAAGCGATTTTGCCACAGCCATATACAGACAGAGATATTCAAGGGTGCATGTAAAATTTAATATGATGTACCAATAATCTTCCTCCGACCAAGTTAGAGTTTCCACAACATGTAATTTTACGATACAGTAAAAAATATAATCGTATAATATGGGCTCTGAAACTAAAAATTAACTTCCGTAGAGTATAATATATATTTTATTTATATTTATTTATATACCAAATGATTATTAGTACAAGGTGGTGGTGGATTAACAAATGCAGCACAAACAGCTTCTTTGAAGTCCTCACTTCCGTCAGTATTATACACTTTACCGTTTATTAGTACGTATGGAACATAATTGAAATTCGCTATCTTACTCTGCTCCCCGTAATATCGCAATAGTTCTGTACCTCTATTGCTTCTAGCACACGCTTTTATTGCTTCTGAATCACAACCCATTAGTTGTCCACACTATAAAAAAAATACATATTTTATTTAGAAAACCTTATAGATAGATTTTCATTAATTCTTTTAAAGATATTTCAATTTAATTTATCCATGGTAACGTCATTCATTTCTATGCTAAACTTTATTTTTGATAGTGCTCGGGAACATTGAGCTATTTTGGAAAAAAAACTGTGTCTTTTCTATACCGGTAACTATACAAATTTATTCTAGACTTTATAACAATTAGTTACTATATCGCTTAACTACTCGATTAAACAGGGAATAATAAGCATACAAACAAACTAACTTTCATATTTATAACGTTAGTATATGAAAAGTACCTTGTCAGCCATTTTATCGTCTGAACCACGACCCTCTGTGCTGTTCATCAAACAAAGGTTAAACCGTAATGCGGTAATGTGTTGCAAATTGTCGATAGCACACGCGTGCAGTTTGTTACCGTAGCACTCAGCCGGCCCGTGTTGACATATAAATTCGATTTGACCTTTTTTTTTAATAGTCTGTAACAAAAACAGTTACTTGAATATATTTTCCATCAAATTTACACATATAAGAATTTCTCGCCAGAGTCGTAATATTGGTTTTATTCATTTCTTCCATTAATGCAGTTGTTTTACTTAAAATTGAACTTGCCAACTATTGAGGTCTTCCAACCAACAACATTGTAACAATTGGTTATCTAAGCGGATAGTAAAGCCGTACAAAAGCTGTTGGTGTCTGGTAAGCGAGCAGGAGTCCAAGCGTTCACTTGTAACTATGATTTTAGAGTTCTATTCTTCGGGTGCAGTATTGTGGCTTGTTGTTTGAAAGTGGTGGTGTTGTCTAGCGCCGAATAATTGGAATGTTTCTGTTATGTTATTTGACAAAAACATTAAAAATGCCATCCACCATTCAATAGCTTCAGTAAATTCCTTATTGGCTGTGTTGTAATGTTTTGTGTTCGATAATGTGGTCATTGATAAGAATATATTTTAATGATATCTAAGACCATCGTGAGTACTCACATAAAATTATAGTATGAATTTTGGATTATAAAGTTTGACATTCGACTACATTGTAAAGTAATCCTATTTTTCAGAACGCCGAAGGTACAATCTTTGAATAATAGATAATCTTATTTTCAGTGTTGATTTGACGCGGCCTCCGTCATAATGATACTCTCTCATAGATAAGGCCAAATTTCTTATTCGATGGACAAAAGCATACCTACCATCCTTCATAATTTTGAAAAGGGGTGCTATTGTCTTTGTATGCAACATATTTACCTTGCAATACATAGTAACACTTATCTAAACTATTTCTATGATATTACAATGCACATAAATATGACTAATAATAAATGAAATATTTTATCACGCTAAAAGGAATTTATAAGTTTTTTTACAACAATATTGCTGTTACCATATTTTTAATGAATATATTTACAACTTATAATTACGACTCAGTACTCACCTTGGCGTTTCCATAAGGGTAAGTGTGTATCTCTAAATACTGATTTAAAGTTTCCAGGACAGGGCTGAATTGTTCTACGTCAAATTTTATACAATCAGGGCAGAGACATTCGTAATATATTTTTATATCTACCTTCTCTGCGTAGTTTGGAATAAACTGTAATAAAATTAAAGACAAAAGATTAAAAAATGTCTTAAATAAATCATTAAAGAATACATTCTATTATACTATGAATATTTGCTTTATTTGTTCTTTTAACCTCTTAAGAATTAAATAAAATACGTGAGCAAAAAAGGAAAATATAAATAGATGAAATAAAAACTTTCATGGTACCATTGCCACATCTTTGCACGCGCTGTCATTTAATTGGAACGATAAATTATCATTTAATACAATAATGTCTCAAAATCAAGTTGTTAAGATGTAAATGTTATATTATTTCAATCATAAATACCTTGAATTGTGTTAGATAGTAGTCATTGCTCACTAATCCCGTAGCGAATTCTCTTTCATTTAAATCGTTGGTCTCGATACCTAAGAAATATTTTTTTAAATATAAACTCCACTAAAATATATTTATATTTTATTTATATACCCACTGTTAATGTTTTCAGTCCAGCTCTCATCGAGAGTACAAACCAAAAGGATTATAGTAAAATATATAGACATTACACAGCCGTTGTCTACAGAAGTCGGAAAACAACTATACAAGTAGCTTGAACTATAGAGTTCAACTTATTATCTCAAAGAGAAGCATGTAGATTAAAAATAATATTATTCTTGTTCCGTTTAAAGATAATATTTCAAATAATAATAATTTCCTGAGAAATCATTGATTGTTTCGTAATTGATGAGGCTAACCCTGCTAAAATTTTTTTAGGAAGGAACAAAAACATTAAAAAAATTCAGTTACGACATCAAACGCTATGAGGTATAATCCTAAAACTCCTGTTTTATATTTGTTTTTTTTTATTAAAGAGAAAAGATATTGGGTTCATCACCTACGATTTCATTTCCACCTGTCAATGAGTGAAATGTCGGTCAAGCACTATCAAGTCAAAATAAAAATAGCATAAGTACGTATGTACATATATAAAAACGACTTTCAAAACGAGAATACTTTGATAGAGACTTGATAAGCAATATGTTAAAGTGTTTGTCTTAGCAACTCCAAACGTCAAATAACGAGAAATGAGGTCGACGAATAATAATTTAAATAGAACAACATTCATACTAATAAAACCAGATAAGTTAGGTATGCAGTGCTAGGTAGATTAATTATTAGTGAATTCTCCAAATAAATAACAATATGTATATATATTATTATTTTGCAAATCATCTATATATATATAGTTAGGAAACTCCTTGGTCAAGAAACAAAATAGAAGCCGAGTTAGGAACTCCTTGGAAAAGAAACAAAATAGAAGCAGTGCGCAAAAAGAGAAACATCTGCACTTTCTGGTGGTCCGTCGTCGAGGCAACATCGCTCATGGGTTTTCGACTATTAATATTGGTTTAGCAATTAGTCTAAGGCTATTTTAAGGATATTACTCTGTAAGTACTTTAATTGTTGTTTAACTGGAGTTAGCAGGTTATCATTTCATTCCTTTATTTACCTTTTATATTTGTTCATTTTAATTAATATCGCATAGTCAAATTGTCAAATGTCTTACTGTTATTTTATTTTTAAAAATCCGAACGAAGTTCCTTAATTCAGAAGTGGGATAAAGATCTCTTTTTTATAAATTCTTTGGTCGACCGTATTTTGTTTTCTTTTTGACAATTATGTCTAAGAAAATGAATCGTAATCGATCTAAATCAGAAAAAGATGACGCCATGAGAAAAATAGATTGATATCTAGCCCACATAGATACCCTAGTTATTAGTTGTCGTAGATCGAGACACGAGTCAAGCTGCAGTAAAGCTTCCCGACACTCACCCGCATCACACTTACTTGGTAGTGATTCATTGAATGATAATTTGGATAACATTTTAGTAAGACTCAAAGCTGTCGATCAGTTTAGTAATAGTGTTGTAGAGTTACAACATAATTATAAGGAAATGTCGCTGAATCGGTCGTAAGAAATGTGTCTGTAGTTCACAATCACATAGTTAATAGTGGCAACGAGTCATCAAACGTAAATAGTTGAGATAACTTAAACGGTGTCCCTCAGACTACGACTCACGATCAAGGTACTGTTCGCTGTTCTCTGTCCCGATACTATGTCAGTTTCGTATTTTACCATTGTGGCAGAAGCCTTTAAGAATCTCGCACTCATAAAATCGCTTCATTATTGCGTGTAAATTTTTGATCCTTCTGATTGATTTATTGTGTCTAGAGGTAGATCGCGCAATGATAGTGGACAGTGGAAGATCATGTGTGTTTTTCCCGGGAAGCATCTTATTTAAAAGCCGACGCCAAAACATAACTAAATTCATAGGTCACAAATGGTCGTACATGGATATTTTTAAAACTCATTTAAGACCTCTCTGTTCTCAGAAGTTGGACTCCGCTAACATTTCCTTTGCATGTATGAACACGACATACAACTAATATACGACATACGCTGGGAATGTGAGACGTACATTATAACGTTTACGATTGGTTAAGGATTTATCTGCAGAACTTGGAATTGTAATAATAAACAAACCAACATTAACAACTTTCAGAATAAAATGATAATCCCGCTGCTAAGTCGTCTTAATACGCGCATTTATTAAAACTACAGGAAACTGTGAAGACTCATGTTTTGTCAAGAATAGGTAAGGATTAACTAACTACCAAAATGTAAACATATGTTAACCGAAGCTGGTGAGAAATATCGATGTGGTTCGTGCAGTTGATAGTGCATACCGATTAACATATTTATCAATATTGGTGATCACATCATATCACTGATTTCTTCTGACCTTATTAAATTACTTTCTTGCCAATCCAAGTATACGATGTACATTACGAGACGTTAATGAATACGAAACCTTTGCCTTTCCTCACAACACAGTAACTATTGAATTCAGCAATATTTCATTTTAAGATCTAGTAGTAGTACCGTCAGCCTGCATGAATAGCAACAGATGTTTTGAATCGTGTTGGAGTAATGTATGTAAGAGTAACAACAACAACAGTATATCACTCGCTGGGATCAGTCAGGTTAATCAAGTACTAGCCACCGAAAACTCTTTATATAAAATCCCTCTGCCAGGTAGTAATCTGGAATTACCAATGTTTGTATTGTCGCCTTTCTCGGATTTTCTTGCGTACCGCTGCCACTACAGTACAGTATAGGTGAGATGAATATCAAACTTACTAGTTCAATTCCAATAACTTGTCGCCCATACAATTTATTTTACAGGAAGATGGTACAAGTTAGCGAAATAATGAAGGATCTCTTAGATAAAGGCATCATTAGGGAATCTCGATCCCAATATGCCAGCTCAATAATTTCAGTGACGAAAAAGATTTTCGAACACTTATTCGCAATACAGAGAAGGAAAGATATCCGTTTTCATTTATTGACCATTAAATTGATTTTTTTTTTTAGGATGACATAACTTCGTCACCGGCCCTGATATGGCGACTTCATGAAATGAGAATCAGGGACGACTGTATTCACTACACAGGCTTCGTTACGTCCGCGTCAGGAGGGAACTACGAATACTGAAAGATGCCATATGGTTTGACAAACTCATCTATTGTTTACAAACCTATTATCAATTAATGATATGCTTCGGGAATTCATTGATTCTGATGACTTGCTCGTTTATATCAACAAAGTACTTCTTCTGAATTTTAATGCTAAAAAAAGGTAAAGGTAGAATTCTATTTTTTTCGATCAATATTAAAATAAAATACTCGTTTCTGAATACCGAATTTGAGAACTTAGACAGACATATAAGTGGTGGTCAGGTTAGCCCGAGCGCTAGAAAGGAGGAGGCTCTGCAATTACATCATTACATGAACTCATCTGCAATTTTATTTTTATTTTATTTTGTTTATTGGAGAAAAAAAACAGATCACAGGAGTATAACAAAACAAATATAAACAACAATACAGCATATTAAAGACAAAATACCTGTGTCCTCAAACATTTCTCACCAAGAAATATAACTAAGTAAAAATGAGAGGATGCTTGGGTACGTACCTCACTAATAAATAAATTTGAAAGGCGATGTGTAAACCTAATCTAGTATGTGAAGGGAGCGATGGCGAATGTGCAGAGAATATCCAATACTTAAAACAAGCTAAACTAAATTCCCAGTCAATGTAAATGAAAAACAGGACTGCTAGGTGGTTTATTCTTTTTTCAATAATACGTCCCGCAACTTGCTGTGAAACGCGGCAGAGTTATGACGTAGAATATCAACCTGAGAAAATTCGTTATGAGTACGACATATTTTTCGCGCGTAATCCCGCATTCGTGTATGATCGCGGTACATGAAATAGAGATTAATTACAATAGTGAAATAAGGTCAGGGCCTTAAAATATTTCCACCACAATCTAGTTGGCATCCAGTTTAAAATTGTAATCCAATGTAATGTAATGCTCTTAAATCAGCTCAACCAACCACTCAACGTGTGATGCCATGGAATTTAGAATGGTGCCCAGATACTGGTGCTATAGTATTCGATGGTGAAATTTTTGAACTGTTTTGTCACTTTGCTCATTTTCTTTTAACGACTGTTCTCAGAAGCAGTGATGACAAGTTTCGCGAGTCGTCACTTGTCGAGACGGGGACATCCCGCTGGCCTGCAGCTGGTGGAGGTTCGAGACACCGCAGGCGTCTCATTGACCTGCTGCCGGGTGGGAGTTCAAGACGCAAGTCTACTCATCACCACTGGCGTTTGTCGCCTTGGCGTTAGTCGCCTTTGACGTGTGTCGTCAGTTTGCGTTAGTCGCATTGGCGTTTGTCGCCTTGGCGTTAGTCGCCTTTGACGTGTGTCGTCAGTTTGCGTTAGTCGCATTGGCGTTTGTCGCCTTGGCGTTAGTCGCCTTTGACGTGTGTCGTCAGTTTGCGTTAGTCGCATTGGCGTTTGTCGCCTTGGCGTTAGTCGCCTTTGACGTGTGTCGTCAGTTTGCGTTAGTCGCATAGGCGTTTGTCGCCTTGGCGTTAGTCGCCTTTGACGTGTGTCGTCAGTTGCGTTAGTCGCATAGGCGTTTGTCGCCTTGGCGTTAGTCGCCTTTGACGTGTGTCGTCAGGTGCGTTAGTCGCACGGGCGTTAGTCGCCCTTAACGTTTGTCCTCAGTTGCATCAGCCGCCATCAGCGTTGGTCGCCACTGACGGGAGTCGCCACTGGCGGGAGTCGCCACAGACGGGAGCCGCCAGTGATGGAAGTTGCCGATTGCGTGAGTCGCATTGGCATGAGCTGCACTTCTATGGTGTTGGTAGCCCTTCAAAGGCGTGAGTCACCCGACAATGGTAATGTACTGTGGGGATGTGAAATTGTTGGGATACCGTCGATTTCACACCTTTCTCTTTATTTTCACTTTATCTGTCTTGGATGCCGTTTAGCTTACATTACTTTGTTTATTTGAAAAACATTTGGACACTACACTCATGCAAACAATAATGTTTCCGATAGTAATGGTGATGTTATTTCAAAATTCAGGATGACAAGGTGCTTCGGCCGGATCGTCTATGCCAAACCTCGAAGACGAAGATCGGGAAGGTGGCGCAGTAGGCGAGGCTACTACTGAACAACAGAGAAAATGTGGCCGAGGACGACCAGGAGTCAGGAGAGGCCGAGTTAGGAAACTCCTTGGTCAAGAAACAAAATAGAAGCCGAGTTAGGAACTCCTTGGAAAAGAAACAAAATAGAAGCAGTGCGCAAAAAGAGAAACATCTGCACTTTCTGGTGGTCCGTCGTCGAGGCAACATCGCTCATGGGTTTTCGACTATTAATATTGGTTTAGCAATTAGTCTAAGGCTATTTTAAGGATATTACTCTGTAAGTACTTTAATTGTTGTTTAACTGGAGTTAGCAGGTTATCATTTCATTCCTTTATTTACCTTTTATATTTGTTCATTTTAATTAATATCGCATAGTCAAATTGTCAAATGTCTTACTGTTATTTTATTTTTAAAAATCCGAACGAAGTTCCTTAATATATATATATATATATATATATATATATATAATGGATCCCTATTTTCCTTTTTTCCCTTGGCCACGGCATCACGCGTGAATGGCTGGACCGATTTCAATACTACTTTTTTGTTGTATTTTTTTTTTTTTATAAGGAGAAGGTTCTTATGTAAGAAAATATACGAAAATTACTAGGAAAAAAAAATTACTAGAATATTTCATTTTTTTAATAAAATAATATCACTGCCAGTAATATTCACGTAGTTGCTATTAAAACAAAGATAAAGTTAAAACAAATTTACATGCTCTTTGCAAATATGTATATCGGTCGGAGTTGGTCTGTGGCCGGAGTTATAATAACAAAATACCTACCTGATTAATTTACCATTTCTTAGTGTACTTTTCACATTAGTTTCTACAGGATAATTTGTACTGTGTGTTTTGTTCTGAAGTGTTGGTTCAACAAGATAAGTCAAATTAATAAAATGTTGGAAAGTTTTGGTTTTTAATATTTTTACAATAGAAAAGGTTCTATAGTAGTTTTTTTTTAATTGAATTTTTGTAAGGAATTAACTACATTCAGATAAAAAAGTAACAGATATTTCTTAATTATAAGGCCGTACGAAGTTCGCCGGGGCTGCTAGTATGCAATAAAATAATGCAGATAATATAATTTTTTATTAACATAAAGAACTGTGTTAGTCACCTTGACAAGGCGGCGGTGTCTTTTTGAAGGCTTCACATACGGTTTTCTTAAAATTGGCGCTAGTATTAAACTTCTTGCCGTTTATGAGAACATATGGCACATGATGAAAATTCGCTTTCTTACTTTCTTCTCCATAATGCTTCAAAAGTGCTGAACCCAAATCATTTTTAGCACAATTTTTTATTACTTTTGAATTAACGTTCATATTTTTTCCGCACTAAAAATATTAAATTAATATTAAACTTTTTGTGTAGTGGTAATATATGTTAAAAACCAAGGTTTGGAAGTCGCTACGATAACTTATGAGTCAGTTAACGGATTTAAATTGTTTTAGGAAATAAACAGTGCTTCTTAAACAGTGTCGTTAATAGGATAAAGTAGTGACAGTCTTTCATTAAATATCGAAAAAACTTAAATGAAAGGGCTGAACGACTCCTAAAGGATGAAATTTCAGAAAACGGCTTCATATGCCTCATAAAAAATTTATAAAGCTTTTTTAATTTGAAATGTATATCTACCTCATCAGCTGTTTTGTCATCTGAACCTCCAACATCAGTTCTGTTCATCAGACAAATATTAAAAAGAAGTGCCTTGGAGTGATCCAAAAATTCGAGTGCACAGGCGTGGAGTTTGTTACCATAGCACTCAGGAGGCCCATGTTGACATACGAAGGAAATGTTACCTTTTTCCTCTATTGTCTGATTAAAATTACAATATAGTGGTAATATTTTGACAAAATAATATATATTTATATTTACTTATGTAAAATAACATATATTTTACCTTGGCGTTACCATAAGGATATGTATGTACATCAAGGTAGTCACCCATACTCTCTACCAGGGGACCAAAGTGGTTTCTGTCGAAGTTTATGCAATGGGGACAAAAGACTTCATAATACAGATCTATGCGTACTTTTTCCATATTTCCTAAATCCTATAAAAAATATGCAATACGCATTTATCATTGTTTTATTGCTATTTCACTAGCATGTAAACTTGTATATCTGAGAAATATCATACCATATATATCATAGATTGATATTGGAGACAAAAAAAAATTATCAAAAATCTTTTGTCCTATTCGACATGATAAAACGATAGATACAATTCTGAAGGATAAGAAATGAAAACGCTAGATCTATGTAAGCTTTCTTTTGTTAATTGTTTTATGCTTAATCCTCTTATTATCATTAAATTTATAAACAGTTCTTGCAAAACGTACGCACCTTAAATAGTGTAGACATGAAATCACGATAATCCAAACCTGCAGAAAGATAATTAAATTTAAATAAAAGGTAACTTCCCATTCTACTCAATTCATTTCAAACTTACTTTCTTCGAAAGACCTAATCCCATCAATGGAGGATAGCAACAAAATAATAAAAATGTTTTGTAACATTGTGCTGTCGTTTCCTGCTTCACTAAAACATGGCTCTTGGTTTTATGGCTCTTATAAATATATATGGACTTATTATAAATATATTTTAGATATGTAATAAACTATGGAATAGTTTAAAAACCAAGAATGAAAAGCATTATCTGATAAGATTCCAGTTAATTAAAAATTATTTATTAAAGAAAATTCACAACATATTTATCATCTTTTAAATACCAGCCATACTAGTTAGAATGAATGGTAAGAACAATTTTTTTTTATTAAGAAAGGCTGTGTAAAGTAATGTTTGTTCATCCACATATTTCGTTAAATCTCAGTAAGTTTTTTTATCCAATCTCGACATTTTTGATTTAAAAAAAGACTTAAATATTATATTGTACCGAACGAAATGGAAGTGGCCGTGCATAAACACCTCTTTATATAGGGATCTTTAATTCCTGTTTTCGTTTGACTTATTGATGTCAAGTAATAAACCTTATGCGTAGTAAAAGTAGAAAGGAAAATAAAATTTAATAAACAAATCTAATACTTAATCTTTCGCTTCTAGTGATCTTTCTATATATTTGGACAAGGACGGAAGCTTGTCTATGAGGTTTTATTAGCAAATTCTTAATCAGTGTTTTAAAACTTAGTTTTATGGAGCAGATTGATGACTTAAGTTTCCTCATAGGGGATGCTACCATAGGGCTGGTGAAATTAAAAAACCTGGGAATCCTCTTAAGAATAAAAGTTAGTAGCCTAATACCACCACTAACGTTTTGCGTAAATACGGCACTATTTTACACTAAACAACACAAAAAACAATGAAACATTCGTTAAGCGCCTCATGGTTTCTGCATAAGTTACTTCGGCTAACTGTCAATACAAGTCCCCTCAAAATCAGAAAACACCTTTTCAGAGATTAGTTAGAAAATGCTATATTGTTGTATGTACCGTATATATCTTCAAATGCATGTAATAACCAAAATGTATTAACCAAAATTTACTACAATACGCCAATTTTATTTATATGGATAAAGTAAAGATTATATGTATTATTAAGGGTCAGATTTGTTATTGAATTTTCTTCATACATTTTTTGCGGAATAAAGTTAAACTAACAAAACTACTATAACTGAAGCCAAATCTAAAAAAAAAACATGATATAATTTTATGTCATGCAAACAATTTACCATTAAAAAAATATTATTCAATGTATGAAACTAATCATTATAATGAAAAATATTTATATATTATATATTTTTATTCAGAATATCAATGCATATAGGATAATAAGCAATTTAAAAAGGAGTTGATGAATATATGTAGTAAGGAGGTTATCAATTTAGGAAGATGTTATAATCTCTGCTAATATTATAAAGAGGAAAACTTTGTTTGTTTGTTTGTAATGAATAGGCTCAAAAACTACTGGACCGATTTTAAAAATTATTTCACTGTTCGAAAGCTATATTATCCATGAGTGATATACGCTAGTTTTATTTAAAAAAATAGGGTTCCGTAAGATAATAGGGTTTTTCCGACACACGGTGTAAAAACCAGAAAAGTTACTTATTTTGCATTCGCTGCCTAAACTATATAAGATATAACTATAAAATGTTCTAATTAATTGAAGATCTTATAAATACTTAGGTTATAGTAGCCTATGGAAGCTATAAAGGAATAAATATAGAGATTTATTAAAAAAAATAAAAGATAACTTAATTTCAATCGAAATCCTAGAATGCTATCCATCTAATATTAAAAGTGCGAAAGAATATACAGGTCTTTACACTCATATGCATGTCTTTACACGGATGAAGGACATATTTTTAACAACCAATCAACCAATAAACATGCGAAAGTAACTCTATCTGTCTGTGACGCTTTAACGCCTCAATAGCTGAATCGAGTTGATGAATTTTTTAAAGCGATATATCATAGGTATAATGAATCTTCTAGAAAGACATATGCTGCCTTTTGTTCTGAATTCAGAATTCCGATCCCAAAAACAAAACTACAAGAGTGGATGGGAGATACATACATGGAACGATGAAGTGCAGTTCGGGTTCAGTGGTGGTAGAGAACAAATCAGATGTTCCCGTGGACAGTGTCGCGGACAAAAGCTAGTGATATTATAATTCTACTACCCTTATTGTTTATATACTCACAGTTAAAGTTCCTGTTGCAGCTTTCATTGAGAGTACAGACTGAAAATATTAAAGTAAAATATGATGACATTACACAGCCATTGTCTGCAGAAGTTGGAAAACAAATGTACCAGCAGCTTAACCCATACAGTTCAAGTCGTTATCGCAAAAGTAGCATGTAGATTGAAAATAATACTATTCTATTCACTTTAAAGGAAAACTTTCATATAATAATAATAATTTCCTCAGAAAAAAAAATGTTCACAACCTTGAAATAGTAATTAAATACTTCGTAATTGATGCGGCTGACTCTACGAATACTTTTCTATTAGGAAGTCATTTAAGTACTTTCATATTGGACGTCCATTGCTTTGAGAAAAAATACCAAGTACACATATAAAATACTTTCAGAATGAAATTACTTGGTACAAATTGATAAACAATATGTTGAATTATTTTTCTTAGCATCTTCGAACCCCAACTTACAAGAAATGAGGTCGATAAATAATTAGAATATTACAACATTCTAATATATTAAACAAGATAATTAATGTGTTGGGTGAATAAACAAAAAATAATCTCTACAAAATTTAAAATACATATATTTCCAAAGTTCTCATTAAAATTTATTTCAAAAGATAATTTTAAGCTTTGGTTTATTGAGTAATATACTGAATATAAGTATTGATTGGCATTTCTTTATGTCGAACTACCTACGTCATCTTGACAAGGCGGCGGAGGCTTTTTGAAGGCACTACAAACTGATTTCTTCAAATCGTTATCTAAGTTGAACTCCTTGCCATTTATAAAAGTATAAGGCACATAATCAATTTTCGCTTTCGTGGTTTCTTCTCCATAATATTTCAAAAGTTCAGAACCCCTACTACCTTTAGCACAAAGTTTTATTGGTTTCGAATCAACGTTCATGTTTTTCCCGCACTGAAAATATTAAATAAATGTTAATTTTTTTTTTTGTGTAGTGGGAATTTAAGTAAAACGAACAAAGTTTGGGGTCACTGTGATTACTTATGATGCAGTTAACGGATTTAATTTGTTTAAAAAAACTCCGTTAAAATTCTCCGTAAACAGTGGAAGTATATAGATAAAGAGTTAAAGTTGTGAAAGTCTTCCCTAAAATGTCGACAAAATTTCAATTGAAAGGACTGAATAAGTTGTAAAGCACGAGACTCCAGACAACTGCTTCATATACCCAGTAAAAAATTATAGTTTTTTTTATTTTAAATGTATACCTACCTCATCAGCTGTTTTATCATCTGAACCTCTACCCTTAGTCCTGTTCATCAGACAAATATTAAAAAGAATTGCTTTAGAGTGCTCCAACTTATCGAGTGCACAGGCGTGGAGTTTGTTACCATAACACTCACGGGGCCCGTGTTGACATACGAAGGAAATGTTTCCTTTTTCCTCTTTTGTCTGATTCAAATTAGAATAAGGTTGTAATATAGTAAAAAAAAAATAATATTTTAATAGTCATGTAAAATAGTTTTTTTTTCTTACCTGCGCAAAGCCATAAGGATAGGTATGTACATCAAGGTAGTCGCCTAAACTCTGTACCAGGGGACCAAAGCGTTTGTGATCATACTCAATGGAAGCTGGACATAAGGCTTCATAATATAAGTCTATGCGTACTTTTTCTTTATATCCTAAATCCTATAAAATATTTGTTGCAATGAGTATTTTTCAAACTTTTTTCTAGTATTTCCTTAAGATACGGGCTATACTTGAAGTATGATATTATGCTATTTGGAACGAAAAAAATCTGGATACATTTCTGAAATATTAGAATAGAATAAAGAAAAACATCTTGGAGGCAGGAAACCTTGGAGGAAAGAAACAATACATTGTTGTTGTTAGTAGTTTTATGCTGAGTTCTTACACTATTAAACCAATTTGATAAATATGTTGTAATTGCAAAACGTACTCACCTTGATTAGTGTAGACATTAAAGTATTGGAGCGTTTTATTGATGATACATAATTTTCCTTGAAATCACGATAATCCAAACCTGAAGAAAGATCTTCAAACTCACTTTCATCGAAAGTCCTAATCCCATCAATGTAGGATAGGAACAAAATAATAAAAATGTTTTGTAACATGGTACGGTCGTTATCTGCTTCACTAAAACATGGCTCTTGGTCTTGGGACTCTTATAAGTATGTTTATCTGCAATAATCCCTACTAATATTATAAATGCGAAAGTAAGTCTGTCTGTCTGTCTGTTACGCTTTCACGCCTAAACCACTGAACTGATTTTAATGAGATTGGTACAGAGGTAGAGTTGACCTTGAGAAAGAACATAGGATAGTTTTTATCCCAGACTTTTGAAAAGTTCTCTTGGAAACGCGATATAACCGAACTCCACGCGGCCACAGCCGCCGGCGGAAAGCTAGTTATAAATATATTTTAAATATGTATTAAACTAGGGAATAGTTTAAAAACCAAGAATGAAACGTATTATTTGATAAGATTCCAATTAATCATAAATTATTTATTGATAAAAGTTTTAAAGCATATTTATCGTCATTAAGATAGGGGCCATACAAGTGGAAATGAGAGTGAGTTACCATCTTTTTCATTTTAACTCAATAAATTATTCAACTCATCTTTACATTTTAATTGAAAATATATATATGTAGGTGGTAGAGCCTAGCTGTGGTCAAGTTAATGCATCTCGAATATGGACTGGCTCGACCAGGGAAGTAAAACCCACAGAAGATCGATGTGAAGTAGTCTTTAATGGCTGCGCTTTGTCCGATGAGTGAGAGAGCCGGTTGCGGTTTCATTTTTTCCATCCTTCCACATTCCTTCCCTTTTCCATCCCATTCCCCCTCCCCCCCCCCCTCATCCGCAACCAGGGGCCAACACATCTGCAAAACTATGTGTCTGCTCGGTGTCCCACTTTAGAATTAAAGACAAATCTAAAAAACAATGAGATAATTTTGTATTATTCAGAAAATAAAATAAATAATAAGGTAAATATTATTCAATAAATAAAGAAATAGGTTTTATTGGCTAGAAATAATGTCGGGTTCTTGTTCAGAACAATGCATATAGTACAATAAGTTATTTAAAACGAATGGAACTGATTAATTTTGTAAGAAGACAATCAATTCATGCGTACGTGTTATTTTTAAATTTTATCCTGATCCCGATGTCAAAACTACATGCGTGGCACCATGAAGTGCAGTCCTGATTCAGTGGCCGTAGTGGCAGAGAACAACTCTGATGTTCACGTGGATGGAGTTGCGGACAAAAGCTAGTGATATGATAATTCTACTACCCGTATTGTTTATATACTCACTGTAAAAGTTGTCGTTGCAGCTTTCATTGAGAGTACAGACCGAAAATATAAAACTAAAATGTAACGACATTACATAGCCGTTGTCTGAAAAATTTGAAAAAGAATGGTACCAGCAGCTTAACCCATATAGTTCAAGTCGTTATCGCAAAAGTAGCATGTAGATTGAAAATAATACTGTTTTATTCACTTTAAAGGAAAAATTTCATAAAATAATAATAATAATTTCCTCAGGAAAATGTTCACGACCTTGAAATAGTAATTAAATATTCCGTAATTGATGCGGCTGACTCTACGAATACTTTTTTATTAGGAAGTCATTTAAGTATTTTCCTTACTTTCATATTGGACTTCTATTGGTTTGAGAAAAAATACCATGTACGCATATAAAAACAATTACAAAATTAAAATACTTTGGTAGAGAATTGATAAATAATATGTTAAATTGTTTTTCTTAGTATCTTAAAACCCCAAATTACGAGAAATAATGTCGACAAGTAATTAGAAGATTACAACACTAAAATATATTAAACTAGATTATTAATATCCTCGGTGAATAAACAAAAAAAAATCTCCACAAAAATTTAAATCATATATTTCCAAAATTGTCATTAAAATTGATTTAAAAATATAATTTTAAGATTTGGTTTTTTAAATGATGTCCTGAATATTCATATTGATTTATGTTTTTTATGTAGTCCACCTTAGTCATCTTGACAAGGCGGTGGAGGCTTTTTGAAGGCATTACAAACTGATTTCTTCAAATCGTTATCTAAGTCGAACTCCTTGCCATTTATAAAAGTATAAGGCACATAATCAATTTCCGCTTTCTTAGTTTCTTCTCCATAATATTTCAAAAGTTCTGAACCCCTACTACCTTTAGCACAAAGTTTTATTGGTTTCGAATCAACGTTCATATTTTTCCCGCACTGAAAATATTAAATAAATGTTTCATTTTGTTGTGTACTGGGAATGTAAGTAAAACGAACAAAGTTTGGTAGTCACTATGAATACTTATGATTCAGTTAACGCATTTAATTTGTAAAAAAAATAAACAATTCTCCTTAAGTCTTCCCTAAAATGTCGACAAAATTTCAATTGAAAGGACTTAATAAGTTGTAAAGCACGAGAAATCAGGGAACTGCTTCATATACCCAGTACAAAAATATACAGTTTTTTTCATTTGAATTGTATACCTACCTCATCAGCTGTTTTGTCATCTGAACCTCCAACATTAGTCCTGTTCATCAGACAAATATTAAAAAGAAGTGCCTTGGAGTGCTCCAACTTATCGAGTGCACAGGCGTGGAGTTTGTTACCATAACACTCAGGAGGCCCATGTTGACATACGAAGGAAATGTTTCCTTTTTCCTCTTTTGTCTGATTAAAATTAGAATAAGGTTGTAATATATGTAGTAACAAAAAATAATATTTTAATAGTCATGTAAAATAGCTTTTTTCTTACCTGCGCAAAGCCATAAGGATAGGTATGTATATCAAGGTAGTCCCCTAAACTCTGCACCAGAGGTCCAAAGCGTTTTCGGTCAAAGTAAATGCAACCGGGACATAAGACTTCATAAAAGAAGTCTATGCGTACTTTTTCTTTATTTTTTAAATCCTATAAAATATTTGTTGCAATGAGTATTTATCAACCTTTTTTCTAGTATTTCCTTAGGATACGGACTATAGTCCGTATACTAAGGAAGTAATAGAATAAATACTTGAAGAATAGAAGAACACAAAAAATAATTAAAAATTCTGATATTATGCTATTCAGAACGAAAAAAGTCTGGAACATTTCCGAAATATTAGTAAAGAATAAAGAAAAAAATTTTGGAGGAAGGAAATCTTGTATTGTTGTTGTTAGTTGTTTTATGCTGAGTTCTTACACTATTAAACCAATTTTATAAATATGTAGTAATTGCAAAATGTACCCACCTTGATTAGTGTAGACATTAAAGTATTGGAGCGTTTTATTGATGATACATAATTTTCCTTGAAGTCACGGTAGTCCAAACCTGAAGAAAGATGTTTGTAAATAAAAATTAACTTCTCATTTCAATTAATTCATTTCAAACTCACTTTCGTCTAAAGTCCTAATCCCATCAATGTAGGATAGCAACAAAATAATAAAAATGTTTTGTAACATTGTACGTTCGTTATCTGCTTCACTAAAACATTTCTCTTGGTCTTATAGCTCTTATAATCTGGAATATTTGTAAATATATGATAAATATGTTTTAAACTATGGAATAGTTTAAAACCCAAGAATGGAAAGCATTATTTTGATAAGATTCCAGTTAATTAAAAATTATTTATTGATAAAATTTTTAAAGCATAATCATCGTCATTAAGATGCCGGCCATACAAGTGAGAATGACAGTAAGTTACCACATTTTTTATTTAAACTCAATAACTTTTTCAACTCATCTCTACATTTTAATCGAAAAAAAATATATAGAGGTAGAAGGGCCTAGCTGTGGTCAATATACTGTAGCTCGAACATGGACTGGCTCGACCAGGAAAGTAAGACCCTCCCACAGAAGATCGATATCAAGTTGTCTTTCATGGCTGCGCTTCGTCCGATGAGTAAGAGAGCCGGTTGCGGTTTCATTTTTCCCATTCTTTTATATTCCTTCCCTTTTCCCTAACATTCCCACATTTTTCTCCCCTCATTCCTAATCGACAACACACCTGCAAAAGCTATGGGCGACGGTACTACCCTAATCAGGTGGGCCGTCTACTATGTTGCTCCCTTTAGAAAAAAAAACTTAATATTTATTATTGTAGCAATCAAAAATGGGATTTACGAAACACAGGCTTAGCTTCCTATAGAGATCTCCTACCCATCTCTTTAGTTGATTAACGATTATCAGAAATAAACCTCAAGAGAGAAAGATAAATATTATTAAAAAAATATTTGTGTATATTCACATATACCTTATATATATATATTATACCGGTATTAACTAAGGGTTGTGATAATGTCACAAATAGATACTCCGATTTTATTTATATGTGTGCCTCTGCACAGATAGCTTATAGATTATAAGGGTCCGATTTTCATTCAATTTTGTCATACATTTTTTACATAATAAAGTAATATTAACCAACTACTAGAATTGAAGACAAATTTAAAAACATAAGATATATTTTTATTATTCAAAAAATAAAACTAACAACAAGATAAATATTATTGAATGTATAAAACTAATCATTATAAGGAAATAGATTTAATCAGGTTGGAATAATGTCGGGTTTTTGTTCAGAATATCAGTGCACATAGTACAATAAGTAGTTTGAATAAGTGTTATTTTTTAATTTTATCCGGATACCGATGTCAAAACTTCATGGGTGGCACCATGAAGTGCAGTCCTGATTCAGTGGCCGTAGTGGTAGAGAACAACTCTGATGTTCACGTGGATGGAGTTGCGGACAAAACTAGTGATATGGTAATTCTACTACCCGTATAGTTTATATTCCCACTGTTAAAGTAATCGTTGCAGCTTTCATTGAGAGTACAGACCGAAAAAATCAAACTAAAATGTAATGATATTACACAGCCGTTGTCTGCAGAAGTTAGAAAACATTTTTTTTTTAACTCCTTTATGCTCTTCTTTGTCTAGGGATAAAACTGATGAATGCGTGACGAAAAGTGTGCTCGGGTGAGGAGAACGAAAGTGAGAGGGAGATTTAAGTAAGTGAAGATAGATAGCGAGATAGTTTTACGATTTGTATATAACTGTAGGGTCAAGGGAGAGGGCAGTGCGCGATCACATGTTCTTTCTCGCTTCCTTTCATAGCCACTGCATGAAATATATATGTATATCTCAGGCAGTACATAGTTCGGTTTTTGTTTTCTCTAGATATCTCTCTTATTTTCATTCGGAGACTTATGTATCTTATTTCTCATATCATACGTCTATTGTTTCGGTCTTACAATCAAACACAGTAATAACTGATGTATCCGATGATGAATATAATGAAAATAATAAATAAAAAGAAATATCTACATATTTAAAAATATTAATTTTTCAATGATAACCCATAATGAAATCAAACATTTGTACAAATTTAAAATGTGTACATGTATGTATAAACATGTCTGTATATATAAATACATATATAAAAATATGCATATCTATACTAATATTATAAAGCTGAAGAGTTTGTTTGTTTGTTTGAAAGCGCTAATCTCCGAAACTACTGGTTTGAATTGAATAATTCTTTTTGTGTTGGATAGTCCAGTTATTGAGGAAGGCTGTGGGCTATATAACATCACGCTACAACCAATAAGAGCAAAGATATCGTGGTAAATGTGTAAAAAACGGGAGAAATTATTTCATCTTTGATGCCTTCCGTTGCGTGCGCCGTGAAAACGGTTCAAGATACACAAAAAATTTGTATTAAAGAATAATAGCTCTTTTAATGATCTAAAAAACAGTCCGCGACAGTATATGGCTATCTTTTAAGATTAACTCACAAAAACCGTTTTTATGGTACCTAATTTGGTCGAAATAATTTGTTTAAATTGTATCAACATAATAATATTAATCTTTATTCAAATAAACAAATAAATATGTTGTTGGTTAAGAGTACTTCATTGTGAATAAAAAAAAACGTAGGTCTTATCCTGAAAATTCTACGGGAACTCCACCATTCCGGCAACCCCGCAAGAACGGGAACTGTGTGGGAAGAACCAAAAATCAGCCGGAAGTCACTGTTCCACGCCGACGAAGCCGCGGCAAAAGCTAGTACATAATAAATATGTAATACATATAGATAGAGAGAAAGAAGTTTTACTTCAGTCGTGTGGTCTAAAGCACACTGGTTTATTATATTATAATTATAGAAAAATACCACGTAGATTGGAAATAACACTGTTTTTATTTCCTTTTTTTTATTTTATTTATTTCATTTGTTCAAGTAACAATGACTCAATTAAAAAAAAGTGTCGGATGGATAAACCAAAAAAATCTCCATAAAATTTTAAATCATATTTAAAAAATTCTCATTAAAATTGATTTCAAACGATAATTTAAAGATTTGTTTTATTAAATAATGTACTGTATATACGTATTGATTGGTGTTTATGTAGAACTACCTCAGTCATCTTGACAAGGCGGTGGAGGATTTTTGAAGGCATTACAAACTGATTTCTTCAAATCGTTATCTAAGTTGAACTCCTTGCCATTTATAAAAGTATAAGGCACATATCAATTTTCGCTTTCTTAGTTTCTTCTCCATAATATTTCAAAGGTTCTGAACCCCTATTACCTTTAGCACAAAGTTTATTGGTTTCGAAAGAACGTTCATGTTTTTCCCGCACTAAGAATATTAATTAAAAGTTTTTTTTTTATGTAGTAGCAATTTAAGTAAAACGAACAAAGTTTGGTAGTGGCTATTATTACTTATGATTCAGTTAAAGGATTTAACTTGTTTAAAAAAATAACAGTTCTCCGTAAACAGTGCTGGTAAATAGAAAAAGAGTTAAAGTTTTTTTAATATTATTTTTTTAAATTAAGTTTAATTATTTAAGTTGTGAAAGTCTTCCCTGAAATGTCGACAAAATTTCGGTTGAAAGGACTGAATAATTTGTAAAGCACGAGACTCCAGAGAACTGCTTTATATACCCAGTAAAAAATTATACAGTTTTTTAATTTGAAATGTATATCTACCTCATCAGCTGTTTTGTCATCTGAACCTCCAACATCAGTTCTGTTCATCAGACAAATATTAAAAAGAAGTGCCTTCGAGTGCTCCAACTTATAGAGTGCACAGGCGTGGAGTTTGTTACCATAGCACTTAAGGGGCCCGTGTTGTTATTGGGAAGTCATTTAAGTATTTTCATAACTTTCATTTTGTATCAAACTCTTGTACTATTTTAAAATTTGAAAGAGATAAATAATACCAAGTACGCATATAAAAACAATTTCAAAATGAATATACTTTGGTAGAAAATGGATAAACCATATGTTTAATTGTTTTTTTCAGCATCTTAAAACCCCAACTTACGAGAAATGATATAGACAAGTTATTAGAATATAAAAACATTCAAATATATAAAACTAATATGCTATAATGTGCTCGGTGGATAAACAAAAAAATCTCTACAAAAATTTAAATCATATATTTGCAAAATTGATTTCAAAATACAATTTTAAGACTTGGTTTTGATTAGTGTTTCTTTATGTAGAACTACCTCAGTCATCTTGACAAGGCGGTGGAGGCTTTTTGAAGGCACTACAAACTGATTTCTTCAAATTGTTACCATAGTTGAACTGCTTGCCATTTATAAAAGTGTAAGGCACATATTCAATTTTCGCTTTCTTGGTTTCTTCTCCATAATATTTCAAAAGTTCTGAACCCTTTTTACCTTTAGCACAAAGTTTTATTGGTTTCGAATCAACGTTCATGTTTTTCCCACACTGAAATAAATAAATGTAAAAAAAAAAATTGTGTTGTGTAGTGCGAGTAAAACGAACAAGGTTTGGAATTCGCTATGATAACTTATGAGTCATTTAACGGATTTATATTGTTTTAAGAAATAAACGAAAAGTGTAGTTAAATGGATAAAGTGTTAAAGTATGAGTAGACTTCCCTTAAATATCGACAAAAACTCATTAAAAGGGCTGAGAGAGCCCTAAAACTCGGGATTCCAGAGAACTGCTTCATGTGCCCATAAAAAATGTATCAAGCTATGTATTTTTAATTTGAAATATATATCTACCTCATCAGCTGTTTTGTCATCTGAACCTCCAACATCAGTTCTGTTCATCAGACAAATATTAAAAAGAATTGCTTTAGAGTGCTCCAACTTATCGAGTGCACAGGCGTGGAGTTTGTTACCATAGCACTCACGGGGCCCGTGTTGACACACGAAGGAAATGTTTCCTTTTTCCTCTTTTGTCTGATTAAAATAACAATAAGGTTGTAATATAGTAAGAAAAAATAATATTTTTATAATTATGTAAAATAGCTTTTTCTTACCTGCGCAAAGCCATAAGGATATGTATGTACATCAAGGTAGTCGCCTAAAATCTGTACCAGGGGACCAAAGCGTTTGTGATCATACTCAATGGAAGCCGGACATAAGGCTTCATAATATAAGTCTATGCGTACTTTTTCTTTATATCCTAAATCCTATAAAATATTTGTTGCAATGAGTATTTATCAAACTTTTTTCTAGTATTTCCTTAGGATACGGACTATACTTGAAGTATAGAAGACCACAAAAAAGGGTTATAATTATGATATTATGCTGTTCGGAACGGAAAAAGTCTAGATATATTTCCGAAATAGTAGAAAAGAATAAAGAAAAAAATCTTGGAGACAAGAACTCTTGTATTGTTGTTGTTAGTTGTTTTATGCTGAGTTATTTCATTATTAAAACAATTTTATGAATATGTAGTAATTGCAAAACCTACCCACCTTGATTAGTGTAGACATTAATGTATTGGAGCTTTTTATTGACGATACATAATTTTCCTTGAAATCACGGTAGTCCAAACCTGAAGAAAGTTGTTTGTTAATAAAAGTTAACTTCTCATTCTACTCAATTCACTTCAAACTCACTTTCATCGACAGTCCTAATCCCATCAATGTAGGATATCAACAAAATAATAAAAATGTTTTGTAACATGGTACGGTCGTTATCTGCTTCACTAAAACATAACTCTTGGTTTTATGGCTCTTATAAATATATATGCACTTATTGTCAATATTTTTTAAATATGTAATAAACTACGGAATTGTTAGAAAACGAAGAATAAAAAGCATTATGTGATAAGATTCCATTTAATTATTTAGTAATAAAGATTCCAAACATAATTATCATCATTAGGATACCAACCATACAAGTGACCATGAAATTAAGTTACCATCTTTTTCATCTTAACTCAATAACTTTTTCATCTCTATAGAATTCAGAAAGCATATTCTTAGCTTTCTATAGAGATCTCAGGTCTAAATATTAGAATTAACATTCAAGGTTCAATAAACGGACAGAATTGAGTATAGAAAGCTTCATATGATAAATAAATTCTAATGATATTAATATGTACTATGTTTGAATATTCGTTTCTGGATAAATAAGAACGGTAAGCAATTTAAGATGAATGTGATATATAAATATCTTAAAAATGCCAATAATTTATGATGGTGATGATTTAATACTTAATACATGAATATATACAGAAATTTTGCAAGATAAATATGGCCAAAATAGCAGGTGAATAAGAATTTATAACAATTGACTTGAGATTTTGTTCGATTTACCAAAACATATAAGTATTTGATTTAAACATAAAAAAGTTGTGTTTATGTTATCAGCATGTGGCTGTTATAAAAATAACAAATCCTTTACGTTAAAAAAATCAAAGTTATTATTTGGTGTACTTTATTTAAAACTAAATATCATTTAGTTAACATAAAGAATCCTAGGCATTAATGTCTATGTAACGACAATAATGTTTCTTAATAGAAAATGACTTACGTACATAGTTGTTGACTAAAACGAGATATATCTATTTCCAAAACACAGCATTAAGGTTCCGGTGACGAGTGAAGATATGACCATCCTTATGTTACTGGACAACATGCAGTTCTATCATATTGCTGAAAGCGTATTTAGTCACTTTTTCATGAACTTTCTATCGTTTAAATTGAGCAAGCTTATTTGAACTGTTTTAATTTGAACTGCTAATTATTTTAATTGGGTAAGTTGATTTTGTACTTTTTTATATATGTCTCGTCATGTTCTTTCCTAAATTAATAATAATAACTTTTAACCGATCCACAGTTAAATGTTGTAGTTTTATGGTTAGAATGCGTACCTGGCACCTCAAACGAAGTACTGACATAATGAAGTAAAAAATTAAATCAACTTTCTAATTAATAAATAATAAACACAAATTTGATCCTTCAGCAAGATTGTATAAGAGCTTTTATATATTTTAAACGATGTTGCCAAACGCCTAATTTTTAAAGTTCAGAAGGAAAATACTTTAGAAATATGTAAAAGAATGTAAAAAAAAAGAATGTAATGTAAACGTGTGAATAATTTGATTGACCGGAATATTTTCTAGACGAGAAAACGAAAAAGACTGCATATACAATATACATATGTTTTTCCTTTGTCATGTATTTGTTTATAACTAGTTATTTCTTGTAAATATTACTATAAAGTTTGTTTTAATTATTATTTTGTCAGTTACCAAAATCGATGAATATTCAATTACAATCATTACATATCATTATGCTTTTATACAAGGTAGAGACAGAATCAAAAACTAACAAAAATATTTAACTGTAAGACATATATTAATCTTAAATATTCACGACCTAACAATACCGTCCTATATATCATTATAATAAAAATAATTCTGATCATAAGTTTAATCAGATGATACAAAAAGTTACAAAATAATTTTGTAGTACTATGTGTTAAATATTGTAGTCTATATTTATAAGATCGACAAGTGTATAGAGGTACGAGGTTTACTCAAAATTTCATATTATAAAACTCAAGTTATTATTTTTAGGCAAATTTCGACATAAAAAAGCTCTTGGTTTATATTGTTAAACAAAGTAAATAATTTCTAAGTTACGTTCTAAAATCAATTATTATATTATCGCATTTTTAGTAAGTAATCACGTCAAAGTTACATTATTCTGCTAACTAATTAAATACGTCTTTAACTAAAGCAATGAAATCCTATGGCAAGGAGACATCGATTTTCTGTATTTCAAAGTTATTCACAATAATTGCTTCCAGTTGAATGACAGTAGCTTATAGCAAGCCCACACATGCGTTCTTCCAGCCAGTCTCGACATTTCCACCCTTTAACTGAACCTAGAAGTTAACTTTATAGCTATATTGATTTCATCTGCGATTTAAAGGTGCTTTAAAAGTCACTTGATCAGATTAAATTGCGAAAATAAAACGATGAAGCATCTAATAAAAACAGGTTTGTTTACTGTAATTGTATGCAAAGAATAAAAGGAATAAATTGATACCGTTATAGGTTTTCTTTTAACGAACTAAAGGTATGATGGAAAGTGGATTTTTATACACAATGTATAGATTATACTTATTTCTTATGAATTTAATTTCGTTAAACTTCAAAAAGCAAAATAAAATTTTTCTCATGTGTTTCGTTATTTACCTAATTGTCTAAGAAAATTCCTTGATATCCTTAAATAATAATCAGAGAATAGAATTATTTAAAAATAACTATCTTTTTGGGCGACACTACCTTCTTGTGTGCCCGTGATGACGGTTGCTGTAAAAAAATCAATACGTCAGCAAAATTTACAATTAAGTAACAAAACATGTACGTTACAAAAGTCTACGCGAAATTCTTAGATATCATTAATGATTAAGACCATAACGGATAAGGCATATCAAGATTAGGCAAATACGGAAATCTATTAATAAAATGTAATCCCAAAGTCGTAATTACAACGCTAACCTAAGCACAACCTTGTAACATAAGCAAAGCTTTTTTGCTGACTTATAGGTCATGTGATTCATGAAAGTCGAGAACTTATAATTTTAAAAACATTTCATTGCTTTAAACTTTTTTAAAATATAAAAACTAGAATGTAACCTTAATAACGTCGTTTAACTTTTTTATTACTGAGAAAATATTTTATAAATTTTAATTTCTCACTTTGCGTATTTAAGTCTTTGTAGAATGCATTAAAAAATCATTTTCTTGTCAAACGTGAGATGGGTTTGAGATTTGTATTTCAATACAGATCGTTTATATACATCTAAGCTAACGATATTAAAACGATACAGCTTTCAACGTTTTATGAATAATTCATTAAAATAAAATATTAATTAAATGTAAAAAAGTAAAAATCTTACAGATTAAAAGTAATTGAATTATATTGTTGTTGAATATGCGGTCAACTTTCACACCAAATTGTTTCTTGAACCTAAATAACTCAATTTGCTTTCACACGAAAAATATAGATCGAAAACATCACGAGCTGACCGTCTCGAGCATCATTTTCGGATATTCCTCTTTGGTACCACTCTATGTCACTTCAATAACCGCAGATGGCAAAAGCAGATAGAAAAATCAAATATTTTGTTTTCATTCAAGAACAGCTTCGACTGGAATTTAATTTGAAACGTGATTTATCTATGAAAATACGACGTGCTGTCTGAAACTGAAGTTTTTGATTGAATTTGTATACACCTAACAATGTCTTTTCAACTGTAATTAACAACTCTTTAAATGTTATTTCCAGAAACAGACATTCAAGAGATGAAATTACTACTTGTTTGAAATAATGTTGACTTTGAAATTACTGTATTGATTTAAAAGTCTAATACCTAATTTTATTACTTGCATGAACTATGAAAAGATGCAATGCACTACTAAAATTAAATTATTGCTATAAAGATTATTTTGGATTCATATAGGTAAGAGTTTATTTATTTAAAATTCTAGTTACTGTATTAGCTTGGAAGTTTTGAGACGTGTAGTAACTTTTATTAATTAAGGTAATCGTAGTTTGCAAGCTATTGAAATTTATTCAAAACGAGGAATCCGCTACAGAAATGAAGTGATTTGTTAACTACATAGTTTCCTATTTATGCTACGGAAAAACAATCATACTTTTATAAAAACAACAATCTACTTCACCGTTTGATATACTTTTAATTAAACTATGTGTGTTGTTATTATATAAACTCATTTATTTGTTACAGAACGGAATATAATTAAAAACTCGTATGTGTACAATTCGTTTACAATGCTCGCTTTAATGATAGCGAATAATCAATTGCATCAAAAATATATTTCGACATAGTTCGAGTACCTATCGTTGTTCAGAACGGAACTAAAAAAAAATCTGTAAAAAAGCAAACCTCGTCAGTCAGGTGGCCGGCGAGCTGGAGCAGGCTTCTATTTGCCATAACGAAATGAAAAATTGAGCTCTATTCGGTTGCGTTGCTTTTTATACGTGAATGTTTCTATAGGGATTACGTTTAACAAAAAATATTGATTCATTCATAAAGTTGAGTTTGTTGGATTATAATTGGTTCTGTAGTTTAAGCTGCACAATGATAAATTAAACACATAATTTGTTTTTAATAAAACTTAACGTAACTTTAATACTTTTTGACG